TAATAAGAAAATAGATCATCTTCAACATTACTCTTCAAATCTAACCTTCCCCGAGGCAAGAAAACAGGCTTCACGAAAAATTCCAAATAACTCGTGATGACTATGCTTAGTGCCTCATTTTAACATGAGTCAACGTAAAATTATTTATAATTTACGTGTGCCATAACAACAGTAAATCAACAACCTTTCCTTTTTTTAGTGTATGTGTATGACTTTAATGATTTTTTTTGAAGAGGCAATTCTTGGACTGATTTATCTAGAGAGCCACTGTATAATAATCAATTGTGTATTTTCAGGGTTTTTATTATATATATTTATCAAATAAAGGAATTTCATTGTGACTGATTTTTAGAAATGATTAAAGATCATTTGTATCAAAGAGGTTGCATGACTTTTTTTTTTACTTTATAATGAAAATTATCATTTGTTAACCTAACTATTCAATCTGATTTGAAAAGTTTCATGTGTGTCACATACTCGTCCAACTGTTTAGTCGGCTCTTACAATTTTCTTGAGTGCTACCCCTTGGCATAACAATTATTTAGTTTCCTCGTACTGACCAACTGCATGCAATACGATTCAACAAGTCCTGCATTTACTGAAACAGTAAAGACGTGAAAACAGTTTCTATATAATTGTTTTGTTCTATCTAGGGACTTCTCCTCCAATACCACGATGAACTAAATGCTTCAGACAGCAAAGTAAACTTTTTTAGACATGGATTCAAACTATCAACAATCCATTTCTCAGTAAACCAGAGGTATTGTTCTTCCTCTTGAACTTGATCAAAGTGAAGTGTTGGTTTAGATGGACTGAGCATATGTCTGGTAAGAATCGAGACGTTCTAGAGCATTCTTACATTACTTATCCACACACGATCTACAAGCATTGCTGTGCGTATAGACATATTTTGACGCTGTCTGAAGCAGCAAAAGTCGGAACTTCACAGAGAGCAGACGATACGCACTCTTCACGGATATAAAGTAACGGATTCATCCAACCAAAATTCCATGTCATTTGAAGAGGCTCTCTGCAACCAATTGGCTTCCTTGAAGTTCAGTTATTGAACAGGCGTTAAGACGGTTTAATTCTAACTAAGAAACAATGGCTAACCTTAGTTGCAGTGAACATTCAGAAAACTCAGATTCAGGGAGTTTTGAACAGAATCCAAAACAAGAAATTTGTGTTTCCCCTTATTATTATTTTCGGATGACTGTTTGACACTACATTGAATTCACTGTAACTCTAGGAGTTCACAAAAGTTATGTGTGAAAAATAAATACATAGAACGAAATCAAGAAGTTTGACTATGGCCGAGCATGATACCCCAAATCCTATAGCAACCGTATTCGATATGAACTCTGAAATGCTACAAATGGGAAAAGAGAAGTGTTTGAAAGAGAGGAGTGCTTACATTGCTTTCTTTTGATTCGCCATACTTTGATAGGCAGCTGACTGAGCTGAATGAAAGGTTCACATAAGACATACGGATTGTTGTTCTGTGTGTAATCCTTTTTTGTCCAGACTGAGTTGAGGCCAGATAACATTCTTGACAGAGCAAGTACACAGTATGGTCGTAATGTTTCTGGCTGATTTAATTCCAGATGACTTTCTTTACAGAACATGTAGACAGTGTAATATTGATGTAGTAGCTGTTGAGCGCATTCATATTTTTTGGAGCTTCATAAAACGAAAATAAAAAGAACACAACAATCCAAAGATTTGTTTTGAATCTTTACTGTGATTGGCTGGGATATTTTTTTCGAAACATTTTTTTATTTTTGCAAACATTCTGATAATTCCAACAACAACATGCTCAGTTGAGTGATCCTTTTATACCATCAAACGTTTAGGGAACAACAGTGTCGACTGGAAGAGTTTCGAACCTGTCAATTTGCAGCTTTTAAAGGGAACTTATAAATAAATTGAGTTTTATGATGACATTGTGGACTATTCCGAAAGTGTCAATTACTGTTTATTCTTCTAGTGGAATGTACTGGAACGAGTTGTATACGTGTTTTATTTTTTTCACCACACTTGCCCTGCTACATACACATACACGTATATTGAGTAAATAGTTGTGATTTTGAATCTTATAATTTTGAAAATACTTACTAAGATTTGTAAACCTCTAAATTTCAGCTCTGGTTACGCCATTGAATGTTACAATTCCGTGTGCGTGGCACGTTGATCTGATGCATTTATACCCGGTCTAAGGTTACATGTTTCTTTTATGTCATCCACTGATATGACATAACTACCAAATCAAATCTTTCGGGGTTTTTTTAGTGCCACTTGTTGTTCATGCAATATGATAATATAAATAGAGTTTCTCACCACAGCTGTGTCTGTTGTATCCCAGCAGGCTTAATGAACTCTGATACTGGGCGAAAGGCCTAATGAGCACTGCGTGTAGCAGCTATAATGTGGTTGACATACTGTTATGCACTTTCTTGAATTTGACTCATAAGTTCTTAGAATTAACAATATATTTTCCCTTGTTGACATCCTGGTTGCTTGACCTGATCCGGGATTAATAAGACTAGCCTGCTGATTTGTAAGTTTTCTGAATGATGAGTACAGTTAATTCAATTGAAAGTAAATAATAATAGTAAATAACTGATATTGAAATTTAAAAAAAAATTAATTAATCCTTACCATGATTCTGATTTGTAGATAACACATATAAAACTGATAAAAATTACACTCCGCCAACTTAATCTAGTTCACACCATAACAGTTGTTTATGCAACTGATAATAAATAGCATCTCAACTAGTACTGTCTGTCGTATCCCAACCGTCCTGATGAGCCTTGGTTATATGTGGATCTTTGCTTTCATTCATAATTTCTTAGAATAACTACCCTAATGTGTCTTACAGTTTTCTTGTGTGTAACCAGTTTCAATTCAACACATACAAATTTAAGAAGTAAAGTTTTCTTGGCTACCATTATGGCAGTTTAATGAATTAATAGGTAAATTAACATTAACGTTATTGAAATTTCCGTGTTTGAAAGATGGTAGGTTTAAGTTTTGTAATACTTAATTTTTTAAGTTCTTATTAGTTAATGTTTGTCGGGCTTATGTGAGGTAAAACAATTGTGCGATCGAGACAAGAGCATACGTTGATTTAAAATAGTATAATGAAAAAAAAAAGAAAAAACACTAAGTCTGAGTGCCCTTTAAATCGTTTTTTTTATATATATACACACATATTCAAGTGATTCAAATCTGTATTTCTGACAAGCTAGCATTAAGGTCTTATTTAACAATCTCATCAAGAGTGCCCCCCTCCAGTGGCTCAGAATAAGATTGAGGGCTCATAGCGCTAAAATTCGAAGTTTGATCTTAGTGGTGGGCATAGTGCATACAGCCCATTGTACAGAAAACCAATAATATTGTTCTACCTGTTGAACTTGATCAAAGTGAAGTGTTGGATTAGATGGATTGCGCATATGTCTGGTAAGAAATGAAATGTTCTAGAACATTCTTACATTACTTATCCACGCACGATCTACAAGTATTGCCGTTTTTTTTTTCTTCAGTTAAAAGCGCTTGTCCAATATTTATATTTTAGAAGTAATATATTTTGTAAAATTGTATCATCGTTACAAGATAAAATGGTTACTAATACAAAATAATACGCTTTATATTCTCATAAACATATCAGAATTTTGTGCTCTTGGTAACCAGAGACTGTATTCAATGTTTTATTTATCGTTCTTTGGTGGGTAAGATATAGTTTGACAGACTTACAACGCTAAAATCCATGGTTCAGTTCCTTAATAGGCAAAATCCAGAAAGCCCATTGTGTAGCTTAGAACTAAAAAAAAGGTTTTATTTTATATCATTATTGCAGTGATGATGATAGCATGCAGTTTTTTAAATCACGTACATGATTATCAAAAATCTACATCTCTTAATCTTAGTTGTCAAATGAATAAATGAATGGAATATATATGAAAATGTTTTCTGTTGCAATATTTCAAATCAGTGCTCTCGATATGGAACTTCGTGCTATTTTCCAGTATGAAAATAGAAACAAAAATTTATTATAAGTAACATATTACTGTGGATAATGTAAGCTCAACTATATAGTGTGCTACCGGGTACCAAAGTTATCCATTTCAAATTTTTGAAATTAGTTTTATGAACAAATCCTCCAGGTGGAGATTGTTTAGAGTCAATGTTATACGTCTAAAAGAAAAACTAAGTTATGAACAATTTGCTGAAAATTGATCTACAGCTCCTGTTATTTTCTTATATCATATAACTCTAGGTGGATATTTTTCATTGCCAACATTATATACATCTAAAAGAAAAGTTACGAACAAGTTGTTGAAAACTACCTTACAGTTACTATTATTTTCTTAGTTTATATAACCTCAAAACTGAAAACACTTCATGCTCTAGTACATTTTTCTTCATACCATATAATAAAGAAAAAAAGGAATAAGCAGTCTGAAAGATCGGATAAAACAATATCAGAGCTTGAAATACATCTTATGTAACAAAGGAACAACAAAAGAATGGCCATTCGGAGTTAATTTACTAATCTAAAATAATTGATAAATATATTCAACCAGTAGATGGTAAATAAACTTTAAAGAAAAAAAAATTCACGGTAAGTGTACCTTTTCATGTTTTTTGTATGAAATATAACAGATATTCAAATTTTTTGTTCATTGTTTCAAGGAGCACAAAAATTACAAAAAATTTCAAAGTTCTGTTAATGACTAGGTTAAAGTAACGTGTTTCTGTGTTTAAATTTAAATTTTCACTTTGCAAGTGATGTCCTTAATAAGGAAGACTTATTGATTATTTTTCTATTGGAGATTTACATTTTTGGAACGTTTGATAGTGAAATGTTCGAAGAAAAATAGAAACTAATTGATTAAAGGTGAAAAAGGTTCACAGTATACTCGTAACAAAGAAATTGCAAGTTAAGTCTAAATTTTTTAGACGTTAGCTTAAGAGGTTTAAAAATGTTTGAACCTTACCTTTAGGCATTCCACATGGCGCCTTAGTCCTGCTATTATCTAAAAAGTCTAAGTCGTATCTTCGAGCAGGTGGGAAAGTCAAAGCAACATGCGCTACGACTGTGCCTACCATACTTAATAAAACCAGTACAGTTCTAAGATCTTTCATCGCTGTTTTGACACGAACAACGATAATATTACAGATCCTAGTAATGTTTTTTTATTTTTTATAAGCTTCTTTAAAGTTTCTGACAATTTCACCAACTAACAGAGAAACGCTTACAATAAGAAAACATCAAGATTTAAAATAAAATGAAAACATGTCAAGTGTAAGCCTAAAGTTAAAAGTTTGGCATGTTTGTCTTTACGACGGCAGATAACTTCAAGTAATTCGTCTGTCTACTGCATATAATTGGGACGCCAATGTACAGCCAAACACCTCTTACAAAATCCCTACTCCTTCTGTAAATGTTCATTGGTTGAGCCACCTACCTGTGCACACGTTTGTATGCTTGGCAAGTCACGTGATAAACCTGTAGGCAAAACAAGTTATGAAGGTGGTCCCCCCTAATTCAATTCATGCCGGTCAGAGACTACGATTTATTTTTCTGATTGAGACAATGACTCTCCTTTGGTTACCCATTCTTGTATTTCCAAAAATATTGTTTATATGTCCTTGTGAATGTGAGGGGGTGGGTAGTTTCATGTGTAACATGATCACCTGACCAAAAATGTTACTCCAGAGATAACACATTTAACTAGAATTTCATATTTTGAAAATTACTATTTAACTTATAGAAAGTTTACTAGTCGCATAGTAATGGTTACTACAGAACTTAATATGAGTTCTAGTATCTATATTATGCTTGTTTAAATGAATCAATTACGCTGTTCATTGCTATAGTTCGGAATAAGCAATTTATTGCATCGTCCTGTTAACTGTTTCCTTGTTAGTGTTTTCTTTAGGGTCATCCATTTCTACTCTTTTTGTTTTTAAGTTTAGTTAGAATCTTTTCGATCGCATTCCACAACTGTTGAATTTATTATATCTAAATAATAAGAATTGTATACATTATAACTTTTAATGATAAAAGTTTACCCGAAAAGTCCTTATGATATAATAAGTCAAAAATCTAAGCATTTTCATTAGAACTGAGAGCATACAAACAATGCTTTCCTATTCCTCGTCGTTTAGGAAATTTAAGTTTTTACAGTATTTTATTGTTTCTTCAAAAATACTTAGTAAGTAGAAATAAATCCGTAAAATATATATATATAGTTTGTTTGTTTGTTTTTGAATTTCGCGCAAAGCTACACGAGGGCTATCTGCGCTAGCCGTCCCTAATTTAGCAGGGAAGGCAGCTAGTCATCACCACCCACCGCCAACTCTTGGGCTACTCTTTTACCAGCGAATAGTGGGATTGACCGTCACATTATAACGCCCCCACGGCTGAAAGGGCGAGCATGTTTGGCGGGACGGGGATTCGAACCCGCGACCCTCAGATTGCGAGTCGAGCGCCTTATCCACCTGGCCATGCCGGGCCTATATATATATAGAGAGAGATGATATTTTTCACTTTTAAAACAGTTGGGTTAAAACAGTCAAGATATTGATCGAGGTTAGACCTATCAATATGATCTGTTAATGTCCATCAATGATTGGTTTACTATAACCACTCCGGCTTAAGAGTGTAAAATTGACTAGGAATGAAATATAATATTATTGTTTACTAACTGGAGTACCCGTCCCCTGGACGGAAATTATGTAAATTCATGTTTAATGAAAGGTTATCTTAACACGTGAAAAGTTGCTTCCCTTATATGTGATTGTAAAAAAGGAAAAAGATGACAATAAAAACTGCAAGACACAAAATATGAAACCGCAAATTTGTATGTATCTCGCCATGGACCCAAAGAACCTCCACACCAAATTTGGTGAAGATCCATCCACAGGAGGTGGAGTAGTGGTAAAAACCGCAAAAAGCAAAAGTGAAAATTTGTATGTAGACCCTCTGCCTCTTCCCATGGACCTAATGAACCTCCATACTAATTTTAGTGAAGATCCATCCACACCTTGCAAAGTAGTTACATGGACATACAAGAGACAGTAGTATTATATTTATATATATATGCAGTTCAATGATATAATTTTAGTACTCTTTGATGCATAAGGTTGAAAGAAACGTTGGTAACACATGAATTAACGTTTCAACTGTATCAACTCTGATGATTTCTATGAACACATGAGCTTGTAAGTTCCTATCTCATGTGGTTATTAGGAGTGTTTATGCTTTTCTTGTTTAATTCATTTCTATTTCATTATTTCTACTTTTCGTTAGGAGTACTTTTTGTTTGTTCTGTATTTATTAATTCACTTATGTAGAACGATGGTTAAACTATTTGATTGAGTCAGCTGTGGTTGTATTTGATCCAGATGTGCTCAGTTCAACGATTAACGTTGTTTTCCGTGACGTTATCTTTACGATAAAGATATGCGATGTGATTGGAATATTAAAGTTTTAATTGTTAGAAAGTGGTTACTTTATAGCACCTTCAGTATCAATACCAGTTTGAATATTTCAAATGTCCTTTTATATATGTTATCGATGTGATTTTTGTTATCAGCTAACGAGTTAGTTGCTCATCAAATTCAAGATTTGAGGATGTCAACGTGCGTTGGTTTTCTATCTCGTTTAAATAGATTTACAAATATAACAATAGCGAAAACGTTTTATTTCAAAGTGGAAATATTTCTTAAATAAAGAGAGACTAAACCGTATTCTTGAGTTTTAAAGGAACAATCTCAACCTATTCAAAGCTATACTACAGAAAAAAAGGCGAAAACATGTACTTTTAAACTGGATTTTGGCAATGCCTTCACGATTCAGACTTTGGTTTCTTTGCACTTCTGACGTTTTTCTTGATTTTGTGATGTCGATTCAGGCTCCATGCTAACTCCTTCATCATCCCAAAATGTCTTCTGCAAACCACGAAAAATGCCAGGAGAAATCTTTAGAAAACTATGTTCTGACATGTTGATGATGTCTGTCCCATCACCGACTACATTCACTCTATTTAGCATTTTGACTATAATTCTACACATAATCGAAGGTTGTTCTCGAATAAGTTTCCATAGTAACACATATTAGCTGTTTAAAAACTATTCTTGAAGACGAACATTTTAAAATGTAGCAGATGTTATAATATGTGTGTGATTTGAGTTTATGATTAAGAATACTGACTGGTAAGCAAAAGCAAAAAACAAACAAAAAAACATTGTTTTTTTAATTTTATTTATAATGCATATATTTACAGTGCTGATTATTTTAGTTCAGAAAATCTCCTTGAAAAGCATATATACCTTATACGTCGCTGCCTTTTTCTCTCCCATCTGAATATGTTGTTTAATTCAAGTCATGTTGCTAAGAAAACTTCAAAGTAATATATCATTTAAAAATATACGTTTTATATATAGGATTCAAATCCTAGAGAAACGTGTGTACCTGTAAGTTCACGAATAAAAGTCCAGGAAATCATTGGTATGTGTTGATTTGTATATTTGACACAAATCGTAGTTATAAAACAAATGATTTATTTTACCTTATCCTGAGAAACTATCTGCCAAAAGCCAACATATTTTGCCAAGCTGTACTCTCACGCCTGTTTCAGAAGTTTCACGTGTATGATCACATGATTCTATGGTGTTTAAACAGATAACAATCATAAAACACCACCTATTTTAACTTCAGTAACGTGATTTGGGTTTTAAGCTTATTTTTTCAAGTAATAATAATAATTAGTTTTGTTCTACTCGATATTTTTAGCTTTTATATAATTTAGCTTTTTTTACCTTAAGAAGGTCGTTGACGAGAAGTTGCTTTACCTTTATGAAGCTGCTGACTGACTATATGTATATATATATGCTAGAAACATAACAAATATTTGCTTTCCGAGTTTGGAATGAAATCTTTATACGTGTCAATCACGGGATAAATCTTATATCAGTGCACCCAGGCAAGTATATATAATTACATTTCACATGTTGTAAATATGAATATCTTTTAATAAAAAAACAATAGCAAAAACATCAAAACAAGATAAAAATTTGATGAGACTAATTCTTATTTTGTATGGAAAACAAATAGTTTTGACACGTGATAGTTTTTCAGTGTCACTGTATGCAAATTAAAATATAACATTTTTCAACTGACCAATAAAAATAAATCATAAAAATTTGTTCAAACCTTCCTGTAAAAAATCGTGCAGAAACTAATTTTCATTTTAAATTCACTGAACTAGTGTTTCACTTTCCGCAACAAATGAGATACCGAACTTGCTACATAAGTACCTTTTACCTCATAGCATTTTAAATCACTTTACTTTGTAAAGTCGGCAAGACTTTAAAGATTCAGCTTTTCATTTATTTTGCTGTGGATTATAAGACGGTATCCGAATCAAAGAAAACAACGTCAAGGGATGTTGATATCAACACTCAAAATTTTTCAGAAATTATATTATGACCCTAAGTCAATAGTTTCTACATGGCAACTCACTTTTATGGCTTATTGAATTATATTTTTAATACAAACGTATATTTCAAGTATCTACCTATTTGGAAGCTTGACTGTGTATGTGTGGATTGGATGTAGTATTGTAGTTAATGTGTTCGGACTGTGAATTTGAGAATTCGTGGTTCACAACTCGTTGCTGCATAAACGCAATACGCACTTTGGGTGTATATATGGATGCACTGTAAGGGCGACGATCAAATCCTACTATTCAATCAGACAAGAGCAGCTGCTTTCACTCTAGTTTATCATTTGAAAACTAGGGTCGGCTATGCACAAATAGCTCTTATATATTATGTTACGTATTGAGAATTTGAAATAATCCAAGGCCGCGTTAAATAATATGACTTTTAATAGTTGAGACGTACCTTGGATTTAGGCTTAGAAATATGCCGGTACTTAATTTAATTTATGCTATTCACCAACAAGATTGATTCACACCGTTTTTGTTTTGACACAAATAAGTTTTAATATATATATATATATATATATACAACACTATAATTACAATAGCAACTATTATGATTAATTATTACAAACAAAGTTTTATAGACAGAAATTTCACTAACTTACAAATAGCCTAAAACCGTTTTCCTAGTTCGGAGTCTCCTTGTAATATTCTTGGAAATATATTAACGTTTGATGAGAATTCACTGACGTTCGAAATGTATAACTGGTCAAATGTCGTATATTTTCCGGTTGA